GCACCTGTCCTAAGACAAGCATATTTTCTTCTGGAAGAGGGCAGAGGATATTCCCAAGAGTTTGGTAATGAGCCAAGAATTTAGGACTATATTTAGTGACTCAAATTCTAAAGAACAGATTTCTCTGCATATTAATACCTAGGAATTTGTAGTGTTAGAAATCAAAATGAATACATCTCTCTATCAGAATGCGAGTATATAAATTTGTTTAAATGAAAGATGCTTTCATGAATACAAAAGTGCTTCTGCCTACATTCTTAAATCACTATTAATTCAGCACTGTGTAATATAATGGATAATTACTGTGCTTTAATATGGATGCTAGTGGATGTGCTAGTCTTCCTAAATAGCTATTGTTGGCTAATAGTCTTGGGGGAATCATTCCTACAGCCATTGTGGCTCTAAAAAAAATCTCTAAGTACCAGTGGGACGGACGTTTTTGAAGCATGGATAATAAAAAATAAAATGCACTTTTATTTGAAGTGCATCATTTTGATTATAGTTTTTATTCATATCACTCAATTGCATTCATTATCTTTGCAGCAAAAAAATAAAGGACTGCTTGTTATGTGAAGGGAAATTTTTCAGAACAATGCAGTAGCTTAGAAAGAAAGACTGCGATTGGTTGTATTGGGAATCTGATCTATTTACTGGGATGTTTAACTGTTCTGTTCATTAGAATTTTAACTGGAGATGTTTTTATATGGCCTTATTGTTTTGTTTTAATTAATATTTCCATGGAAGATAATTAGATAAAAACTGTTGAATATTAAATATGGTCATAGCTTAGAGGGAAATAAGCATTTCACAAATGGGTCAAAGCTTTTCACACAATATTGTGATATGTGGGCTGATTAATTACATTGAAAGCCAAATAGGTTGCCACCATCCAACCAGACTCCAACAGTCACTTGGTTCATTAGCTAAGGTTTTTCGGCATGGAATGGCTGCTTATGTCAAACTTAATGGTGTTCTTTTTAATCTTAGCTACTAATGGAGTAAATCTTGATTAGAAAATAGTTCCTACCTCATTAGATCCAGCTGAGTATAAGAATATCTTACCCTGTCTGTCACATCAAGCATTTTAAGTGTCAAACTTAAAATTTAAAATTGTGAAGTTCCTGATGGGGTTACCTGGTGCTTTCTGAGTGTTGGTGGCTCCTACCTGTAGGGATAACCAAAGAGCTCAGAGCAGGCTACTCCATTGTCTGTGCCATCTGTGCCTTGCAGTATGTGCCAAAAAGAACACTTTAGCTTCTAATCGTATCAGAGAAGTTAAGTGTTTTTTTACAAGAAGCTGAAGAGATTGTGCAGTGGTTAAGAGTGCTTACTACTCTTGCAGAGAACCTGAGTATGGTTTCCAAAATATATATAAGGCAGTTTTCCACCATTCATAACTAGTTCCAGGAGACCCAACACCCCTCTTCTGTCATCTGCAGGCACCACACACACACACACGTGACACACATACATACATTCAAGTCAAACACATATACACATAAAATAAAAAATGCTTTAAAAGAGTTCTTATCAATCATATTTATCATATTTTTAGTATATATGGGGAAAGTATGCCAAAATGATAGCTTTCAGGTGCATTCCAAATTATATAGGTTTTCAGACATCATGTATATGTTTGATTTTAATTTCCAGTATTTTAAAGGCTGTAACAGGAGTCATTACATATGCCTAAATCTTTCATGATAATTAACAGTCTCTAAAAACAGGCTGTTAGGTTAACTGGTTTGGGGCTTCTCCTGGCCTTTATAAAGAGAGCTGTGGGGCTTATAGCCGTTCTGTAAATACAGGCTATGTACTGTCTGATTTGGTACACACTGCATCTTTTTATGCTAGGCTTAACTTTTACCCAACAAAGTCTGTCCACACCTATTTGGAACCTTTTAAAAAACAAATAGAGTTAGCCTGGTAGTGATGGCACACTCCTTTAATCCCAGCACTCGGGAGGCAGAGGCAGGTGGATCTCTGTGAGTTTGAAGCCAGCCTAGTCTACAGAACGAGTTCCAGGACAGCCAAGTCTCCACAGAGAAACCCTGTCTCAAACAACTAACAAACAAAAGTGTTAAAACAAACAGGCAAGCAAGTCAGGTTGGTGATTTGCTAGCGTGTTGCAATGTGAGAGGACATGAAATTTAGGCTTGTAGTGAGTTTTAGATGCCTTTTGTCATATTAATTGTTTTGATAAAGAACATTATACATTAGAAAAGTCTTCCCTTCACTACTGGGAATTGAAATTAGGGCCCTATATAAATTATAAATATTTTTGTTAAAAATTCTACTATAGTCTTTATTAATCAGCATCTTGCTTACTTTAATGGCTTCTTGCAATGGAAGGCAAACTCCGGCTGGGAAGAGGACTCTGTGTGTAACAGCACTTGCTACCTGAGTATGCAGGTCTACACAAGACTCCCCAGTACCCATGTGAAAACCAGGCTTAGCTGTGCGTGGACCCATAACCCCAGTACCTAGGACAGTGCCTTAGTCAGTGTTCTGTTGACCATGGCAACTCTTGTAAAAGACAGCATGTAGTTGGAACTGGCTTACTGTTCATCATCAGCATGGCAAAGAACATGGTGGCACACTGGCAGACATGAACCTAGAGAGACAGCTGAAAGTTCTATATCCAGATCCACAGGCAGCAGGAAGAGAGAGAGTCACTGGGCCTTTCGAAACCTCAAAGCCCACCCCCTGTGGCACGTTTCCTCTGACAAAGCCACACCTCTTCATCATTCTCAAACAGCACCTCTCCCTGAGAAACATTCAAATATATGAGCCTATGGGGGCCATTCTTATTCAGACCACCACAGGCAGAGACATGACCAGTGCTTCTGGCACCAACCCTAGCTCCAAGTTCTGCAAGAGACCCTGTCTCAAGGGAATAAGGTGGAAAATGATAAAGTAGGACATCTTATGTTTTCCTCTGACCTCTGCAGGCAGACACGCACATACACACACACCACATGCACACATACACACAACATAATACATACACAACACATACATGCAGCACACACACATAACCACATGCACACATACACACAACACAATACATACGTACACCATACACACACATAAACACCACACCACATACAAAACCTTTTAAATATTACTGTTTGCAACCATTGCCTAATGTAGATCAGAATTATCTTACCATTGTGTAACCAAGTCAAACCTAGAAACAGCCCTGTGGCTGATAAAGGGCTATCAGCGTCAACTTATTGGAGTGGGATTTGCATTTGTAGATACAGCCTTGCTATTTGCATTGATTTTTTTTTTATTTTTGGAGCAAAATTTATCTAGTTGTATATAACTAAATTCTGGAGTCTTTCTTTTGTTCAGTCTTCACAGAGCTATGCAGTAGACAATTATACCAAGCATTTATTAAAGTATATATCTTGGACAACAGAACCTATTGGTTGTCCCAGCTCAAACTACTCTTACAAAATACCACATACTGAGAAGTTTGTAAACAAAATTTAAATCCAGTTATTTTCACAGTTATGAAGGCCGGAAAGCTCAGGAAAAAGACATTGCCTGAGTCAGTGTCTGATGAGGACTTGATCCCGGTTCAAAGCTGGTCTACTGTGTTCTCACGTAGTAGATACAGGAAACAGGCACAGAGGGTCCGCCCTCTAGACTCCATCCAGTCCTAATTGCATGTCAAATACTCTGCCTTCTAATTTTATACTGTTAGGGGTAGGTTTCAGTTTATGAAGTTGGAGGTGGTACCAGTCTTCAGTCCATACGACTAAAAATGCTCTGTTCACAGTGTAAGAGATGAGGAAGTTAAATGATGCTGGAAAGTGACCGTTAAAGAGACAAGACAGAGTGACCTAGGTGAAGCTACTTTGCATTTTAAACATGATCTCTGTTGCTTTGGAAGTTGTGTTGAGGGTTGGAGTTTGCCTGTTTTGTAACCTCATATCATATGTCAGCTTTTCCCAAAACACTCAGATAAAAGGGATTGGGGCTTGTAGGGTCTGGGACACAGAAAGCACAATGATTAGTGTGTATAAAATGTCATACTGAAACCTATTATTTCATCCATTAAAAATACGAGATTACAAATAGAGTTAGGAAGAAACATTTTTTAAGGCTAGAATTTTAGGCTCCTGACTTTTGCCGGCATTGGGTCGGTCTCTCTTCACCCCTGACTTTACTGGCATTGGGTCGGTCTCTCTTCACCCCTGACTTTGCTGGCATTGGGTCGGTCTCTCTTCAGCCCTGACTTTACTGGCATTGGGTCGGTCTCTTTTCAGCCCTGACTTTACTGGCATTGGGTCGGTCTCTCTTCAGCCCTGACTTTGCTGGCATTGGGTCGGTCTCTCTTCACCATAGTAAGGAGATCTTACATCACTTTCACAGCTTTTGTTTGTGGTATTGATGCAAACTTGAGGCCTCTTAGTACTAAGAAAGCAGTTTATCCGCCATTGAAACAACTCCTTACAGAACCATCGAAAGGTGCACGGCCTTGGGACCTGATGTGTGTCTTATGGGTTTTCTTATCCTTCTTCTTGCCCTAAACGAAAATGAATGGCTTTGTAAAGTCTTCCTTTCTTAGAACCTGAAGGCTTCTTTTTCTGTATAACTTTAGTATATATCTCAAAAGGCTTAGGAACTTTATTTTTTAAAACACATTGTTTATGCACTGGCTTTCTCTCTCTCTCTCTCTCTCTCTCTCTCTCTCTCTCGTTTTTATTGAACTATATATTTTTATCCATTCCCCTTCTCACCCCCCTTTCTGCCCTCTCCAATGATCCCCACACTCTCAATTTATTCAGGAGATCTTGCCTTTTTCTTCTTCCCTTGTAGATTCGTTACATGTACACATCTCTTAGATACATGTATCTACATGTATGTCTCTCTTAGGGTCCTCTTCACTGTAGCCCCCAGCCAGTCAGCATGTTTCTGCAGTGGGCACTATTCAGGTACCTTTGTCGTGCTTCCTCTGCTCACACTGTGCTTGTTTTCTTCTTTTGCAGAGACGCTCCTCGATGACTTCCTTCTCACGTATACAGTATTCATGACAACTGATGACCTGTGCCAGGCGCTGTTGAGACAATATCCTTCATTAACTTCAGGATGCTCTGCGGGCTTCCTCTCAGGCAGATGTCCCACATTACGAATTAGCTGCCTTTCCTAATTTACTCAACCCACGGTGAAGTGTGAATGTGTTAAATATTAATGTGATGATATCCAAGGTGAAGATGGAATGAGACAGGCTAGACAGGAATAGCAGGGAATTCGGGGCTGCTGTCTTCAGAGTCTACTGTGGGCAAAGGGTACTGTGTATATTGTGTTTACTTTACATCTGCTTCTCATGGTTGCTTAGGGACTGGAAGGAAACTTGCCTTCTAGGTAAACCCAAGTGAACAGGTCAAGTGGATCGACAGAAACAAACATTAAGTATTTTTATAGAGAATCAATCATTTAGAGTTAGACTTCTTGTGCAACATGTCTGTGTGTATGTGTGTGTGTGCGTGTGCGTGTGTGTGTCTGTGTGTGTGTACGTGTGCGTGTGTGTGTGTCTGTGTACGTGTGTGTGTGCGCGTGTGTGTCTGTGTGTGTACGTGTGTGTGTGCGCGTGTGTGTGCGTGTGTGCGTGTGTGTGTGTATGTGCGTGTGTGTGTGTGTGTGATATCATATTCCTGAGAGAGCATCTCTGGACACCTGAACTGTCTCCCCCATAGGAAACCCTCTCATCCCTGGATGTCACTGTCATCTTTTTGGAGTGTTTCACTCACTGCATACTTTCCTCAAGTGGCAGGTGGGATTAGAAGGTTAATCGCTGGCTCAGAAGCCTTAGGATTTTACTCAGTAGCCAGAGAGGTTCTGGAAACTGATGAGAAGTCTCCATCAGGGCTTCGTGCCTCACTGTACTTAGAGAAGATGCCTCAAAAGCAATTAAGTATTTAATAAATTAATTTAGTTAATTAATTTTATTTCTAATAGTAATAAATTAATTATAGCCTTTAAGCACTTAATAAAAATACTTTACTGATTTTATTAAATGAAACTAGAGATTCCATTTCAATCGCTATAGGAGAACACGATTAAAGTAATCCCACACCAGCTCAAAATTGAGTATAATAAAGCGTCCTTTATTTAGGAGGGACTCACAGATCACAGTCCTCTGCACAAATGGGGAACAGGAATTGAATCCATCAACCAAGGGAGGGGACAGCACATGTTTTTGGTGCCCAAGACCACACCCAACCTGGTACAGTATCTCAAAGCCATTGGCTGAAGGAGGTTCCTCAGCAAATCCCCATAGGAAATGTTCAGGAAAATGGACTATAAGCCAAAGATTTTATTAAAATCTAATGATAATGGCCACTTAAGATTCTTTTCCTGTTAAATAATTGTTATATGTCTCCCAACTATACTGCATTTTCCCACCTAAAAGGATACTTTAAAACTTCATAAAGTGTTAAAAATAAAACGTCTCTTAAAAACATATGACTAAGTCTGCTCTACAGAGTGTTCAGAACAGCCAAGGCAACCCAGAGAAGCAAAAACCAAGAGTATATAGATTTATGTACATGCATATGAACTAGAAATGACATCTGTTTATGCATGCGCTGCTTTGGAGCTGCTGGACCCGCCAACCAAGCAGGTCTATAGCTAATTTGACAGTTTCTAAAGACTGACCCATAAAACTGATCTTGAAACGTTAGTTTTGAATTTGAAATTTTCAACAATATGCAGATTGTTTTCTCAGTTTTGAAGTGGAGTACTGTTTTTAAAAAAAAAATACAAGTTTTTAAATTTCTCCTTCATATGTATTTTGGGAAAGAAATCCGAGAGCTAATTTCATCTCCATTTTAATGCTTGCCTACTCGAAGGCAGTGACCGTCCATTAGCTCTAAAATTATGTCCTATAGCAAGCTGTTGTCTTCAGCTATGGTCTGAATATTATTTTTCTTACCACTTAGTAATGTAGTGCCCTGTGGATATTTCCAAAGAATGTCTGAGGGTCTCCTTGGGCATTAGTGTTTTTCAGTCTTTAGCTGGGACGTTTTATACGGAATTTTAGTTCTTTCTGAAACTTTTTTCATTATTAAAGTCCACAGAATGGAAAACATTTTAAACCACATGTCTTTTTGCATGACTGCTTTTGTTGCTTGCTGTCTGTGAAATCCCGCCAGCCACAGTTGAAGCTATGATACCCGTATCGCGTAGCAGCAGTTTTGTCCCGTGCTCGTGAAGATGCCTGTTACATTCCACTCTGATTTATAAACACCATTTATAGACTGGGACTATTTTACAGTGCTTAGTTATTTTATATGGATATTTTTATTATAATGGGTTTGAATGGCTTTTGACTTTATCATAGTAAAGCACATTATTTAGGCTCATAGCAAGGGCCAGCTAATATTCAACGCATTGCAAAGATCCTGCAGCTCATTCTGTGCCCTTCCCCCACTACTCCATTTATAAACCAGTATTAATAGGCCTGGGCCAATTTATACTGAACCTATACCTTACTCCAGAAGTAGGAGAACAAATGCCAGTTTAACCTTTAAGTGTTCTAAAAGGTACATATGTTGCAGGAAACATGAGATTAAGAAAATAAATATTAATAGCTGTAAATTGGGAATAATAGTTGAACACTCTAAGTCTTGAGATTGCTTTCTTCTGCTGATGCATGACTGTCAGACTTAGATATGACATATGAATGAGAAGCGCAGAATTTCACTAGGAGAAATTGAAGCTGTTGGTGTTTCTCAGCTGGCTACATCTTCCCCCATGCCAGCCATTGCTGGAAACAGAACACATGCAAACAGACATAACACAGAGTTGCTTTTCAAGAGAAAAGCTAAAACAAATAGGTACTTTAACAGCCATTTTTTGTTTGTATGGCTTAGTTTGTTTCACAAGTCGAACTTAAAAGTAGTCACAAAGAAATCTTGCAAGTTAGGGAGAAAGGGGCGGAGCCATGTGTTTACATAGTTACGAAGTCTGGTGAATAGTAGCTCCTCTCTGTTTTGCAGCTGTTCGTCGGCATTAACAGATGTGCAATCTTGATGAACCAGCTCACAGTGTTTCCTATGTCTAGCTAGCTTTTCAGCACAATCAGTACAGCCAGGGGCCAGGAATGGTGGCAAGGTGCGCACCTGTAACCCCAGCTCTTGGGAGGTGGGGACCAGAGGATGAAAAGTTGAGGCAGCCTCTGCTGCAGGAGACTTTGTCCTGGGGAACAGAGAGAGATACTCATTTTGAGGGAATAAAAGAGTATGTGAATTTAGATCATTCTGGCCTCTAGTCTCATTCCTAGTCATCTAAGCTTGCTACTTTGAAGTTCTTTTAATAATTAGTTAACACATGGTCATTATATATAAATTAGGAAATGACAATTAGTAAAATGGCTCAGATATTCTCAAATCTCGCTACTCTGAAAAGTCACTGTTAATCGTCTGTATGTCTTTCTAAGTAATTAAAATATTCATATATGCATTCTTAAAGTAGTCATGTAAGCATTATTAACCCAAGTAGAAAATGCTGCTGTCTTTTTGTTTTTATGCTCAACAGTATACTGTAATGTTCATTTCCGTCTAGGTAATGATCCCCATTTTCATGGCCTCAGAGCCATTTATTTAACTGACTTCTTGCTGGGACACGTAGCCCTTCCCTGCTATGTTTTAAATTTACTTTAATGAAGGTGAAAATCTCGACCCTTTTACCTGGGTCCTTGCACATTCATCTGGTTCTTTCATCAAGGAAATTTTTAGGATCCGGCATTTGAATCAGATCATAAATTGTGCTTCAGACAGCTGTGCTCATCTGGAACAACTTTAGAAGCAGCTGCTTTTATAAAATATGAAGTTCTGCAGATCACAGATGGCCTGGCTTTCTTCTGATGTGCCTCATTGAAACAGTGTTCACCTGTACTGTGAGGCCGTGTCTTCCTTGGAAGTGACTCTGAAATCCATGGGCCGTCCTGTGTCCTTTGAACTGACGTGAAGCCCATACTGCCCCTGGGACGTTTTCCGCAGCGGCAGTGTGAGGTCCAGCCCTCAACTGCACGGCCTCCTGCTGGGGTTGCTTCCGTTTGTTCCTGGGTTTGCTTTCATGCCTTTCAGAGCACCGTCTGCTCTCCCTGTCCAGGGTCTATTCTTTATACAGTTCTGAATTCTTTGGAAAATATGCTTTAGCCTACTTTGTAAAAAACTGAACCAAATAGGCCTTTTCACATTTTGTATTTCAACAACACGGTGTTCTTTCTTAACTATTTGCACCTATTCTGCTAAGAAGCATCAAGGGGAAGAAGAAAAGTCAGATGTCCCTTGTCGGAAGCGCAAGGTCCTGCATCTGGTTTCGCAGTGGATCGCTCTGTACAGACACCGGCTGCATGAAGATGAACATTCAAAAATGTTTCTAAAGGTATTCCTACAATTTCAAGTATTTTGATGTTGAGTGACTGATTTTATTTTCATCTATATGATTCAAAAAAATCTTATTTTTAGTCATTCAGGTTTTGTATGTGAAAGTATAAATTCATTCTAACTTCCATGCTTGGCATTCTTTATATAAGTAAGAAATTATTTTAATAATTTTAAATATATTATGAAAAACTATATATGAAAATTTGTGTATATACTAATTTTGGATGCTTTATTTAAATCTTAAGAATCTTTTGCAAATTAGATAAATAAGATAAACCAAAATATACTCTAAGATTTAATGCTAGATTTAGGATAATGTTAAAACTAACAACACCTATATAGGCAAACAGTACTTGATAAACATTTAAAAATCTTCTTAATCATATGTATATTGTGTCATAATATGAGTTCTAAATACATGCTGTATTTGAAAATAGATACTTGACATTAAACTTTGAAATAGTAACAATCTGAAAGAGACACTACCCTAGATAAACCAATCTGTCTAAATATTAATAATTTATAATGTGTATTTACCATGGACAGTTGTCTGGACTAGAGAGTTTGGCTCATTTGACCATTGTGTTGGATATACAAATCAGCACAAAGAAAGGTTAGGCTGGGATTTTAGCAAGAATCTGCTTTAGAATAGATAAACACCTGAGCTGATCCTGCCTATCATAGAGGAAATGGCATTGAACTTACATTCACCTAGCCATCCCTCTGCCTAAACTCGGGTTATTTTTCAAACCAAGTGGTTATTTTAATTAATATGTTTTCCTCTCAGGTGGTATGCAAGTGTTCTGTTTTGCGATCTAAACTACTTGTGGGAATCCCTGATAGCCACTTTCCAGCATCCCCAGCAGACAGCTTTTAAAAGCAACCTGAGAGAGCCATGCTGGGTGCTGAGTAGCTAAGGTGAAACTTCCAGTCCTGAGTTTCACCTCACTTCCTGCAACAAGATAACCATTACCAGAGCCTTTTTTCTTGGTACTGGTACAGGGACTGAGCTATGGCTGGCCCTGTCTTCATCTGAATCCTCACAGAACAGGCAGTGAATGGTTACAGTTGCCGTTTCTTGTCTCCACCCTCTCTGCAGACCATATACAGGAATGTACTGGATGATGTCTATGAATACCCAATTCTCGAGAAAGAACTGAAAGAATTTCAGAAGATACTTGGGATGCATCGCCGGCAGTAAGTAGCTTTTCTCGTAGCAGTTAATGAATGCAAGAGCCAGTGTAAGAATTTAGGCTGTCGTGTATGTAAAGTGAATGATTTTTACATCTCAACCCTGGATTTATCTTGATTACCTAACATTTTAGTAGTAAATATGTGTTTTTATTTTTGTGAATAAAAATAGAACACTAGTCATACTCACTGACTTTTTGTTTTCTTAAGTTTTCTATGATAAAAGCAGACTGGGCCATGACAACCTACGTACATAAAACCAGTAAATTATTCCTTAATTTTAAGTCTATATTTAGGGACTCAGTGCAATCTCTGTGGAGCAGGGAAGAAAATATTTGTAAATAGTTCCAGTGAGTCACAGAGCATTTCATAGGCTCAATATGATGAGATCCCCGAGGTTTCCTTTCCTCTTTAGAAAGATTGGAGAAAGCCACTTTCTCAAGTGACTGTTGGAATGCCCGAGTGTCCCATAAGTAGCGTTCACATGTCTTTCAGATTGGCAGTACTCGCCTTTGCTTGGTTTTAACTGGTTCTCTGTTAATTTTGGTAGATGAAGACACTGAGTCATTATTCAGTTCCGAGGTGCAGTCTCTGCTGTGTTTGTCCACTTTGTAGTGCTGTTCCTTATTTTTAGTAGTGTGAAGCAAGTAAGCCATCAGGTTGGAGATGCTTTTAAGACTTCAGCAACAGTGAGTGCATGTCTCAAGAAATGCAAGTTCGGGCCTTTGAGAGCATTGGTTTAGCTGTCGTAGAGGGGCCCCATCACGAGTAAAAGATGTATATAGGCCAGTCCTAAGGAGCAAACAGATCATGTGTGAGCCTTTGTTTCAGTTGTCAGGATTGCATGTCTAGAAATTGGGTGCAGGGTAGGACAGTGTTTTAGAAATGATCACAGTCTGTATCATATGCATATATGAATAGCTTAGTATTAATTTGAAATTATAATTAGTAAATGAAACAAAAAAGGAAAGAAACTGTTAAGTTGGGAGCATAGCCCCCAGCCCCTATCATCCATCCCAGCGTCTCTGGCCTGGGAGTTGTATTGATCTGGACTCCAAATCCCAGCATGCCAGGGTATTTATGTGGACTCCTAAAGGAGAAACACGTGGTTTTCGGGTCTGCATGTCTCCCCACCATGTGCACTGCCACCCGAAAGTGTCATTCTTAATAAAACAATGGGCATTTTGATTCGGTTTGATTTGACCTAATTGGATTTTTTGTGCAGGTGGAGCTGCCCTTTTCTTATTATTTTTACTTATCAGAAACTTTATGACAAAATAATCTCTCCTTTGGATGTGACTCTTCACTATGAGGCAGAATTGTTACAGTTAGGAAACAGTAATGCCTGGTTTAGTATACTTAAATATATTTACTCTCACTGAAGTCTAAAATTTTCATTCCATTAAAATTTTTACATTATAAAAGAAAATAGTAAGTTGAACTGAGAAAATTGTATTAAGATACGGTTGGGCGAGTGGTGTGGCTCAGGGTTAACAAAATTAAGCTGTGGACCATGTCCCTCAACACAAGCACACAGAGGAGGGTTGGGGGCCTTGCTTCTTTAGTGTAAGACTATAGAGTGTCTTTACACTTTAGAACGAGACGTGGGCCAGCCTTAGCTTTGCTTTCTGTAAGTAGAAAGCACAATGCATGTTTCCAATAAGGAGCTTTTTTTTACACCCTAGTCATTTGAAACTTGGAATGCAATATCAGATAAATTATACATAGTAGATTAATGATGAATAGTGTGTTTTATTTTTTTGTTTTGTTTTTGAGGTGGGGTCTCACTCTGTGGCCCAGGCTGACCCGAGACGTACTCTATGGTCCAGGAAGACCACCATCTTGCCTCTGCTTAGCCTCTGGGTGTAGGGATTATAGACATGTACCACTATACCAAGCAGTTTTGTCCTGTTTCATTTTTCTATTTTAATGACATTTATTTGTTTGTTTGTTTGTGTGGGTGTGGCTGTGTCATGGTGTGTGTGTGTGTGTGTGTGTGTGTGTGTGTGTGTGTGATGGGGTGTGTATGGGTGTTTGTCATGGTATGTGGTGTGTCATGGTATGTGTTAGTGTGTTATAGTGTGTGGTGTGTGTGTGTTTGTGTGGGTATGGGTGTGCCATGGTGTGTGTGTCATGCGTGGTGTGTGTGTGAGTGTGTTTGTGTGTGTGTGTCATGGTGTGTGGTGTGTGTGTGAGTGTGTGTTTGTGTGGGTGTGTCATGTGCTCTAGTTTGATCTCTGCTGCTGTGATGAAACACTGACCAAAAGAAACAATTTAAAAACAGAGTCTTATTTGTCTTAAGAGTACAGCCCATCATCAAGGGAAATCAGGGCCGGAACTGCAGTAGAATCCTGGAGGGACACCACTCACTGGCTTGTTCCCATGGTTTATTCAGTTATTTTTCTTCTGCAGCTCAAGGCTACCTGCCCCTGGCTGGCATCACCCACAGAGAGCTGGGCCTTTCCACATTATACATTAATCCAAAAAACTGCTCACAGGCCAGGGTGATGGAGGCAAATTCTCATTTGCAGTCCCCTGTTCCAAAGTATCACATTGATCAAAAACAAAACAAACCAAAAACACAAACCAAAACCAGCATGCCCGAGTGGAAGTCAGAGAACAGCCTCCAGTCAGCTCTCTCCACTGCGTAGATCCTGGGTTTGGAACTCCGGTCCCCAGGCGTAGCTGTTAGCGCCTTGCTGCTTGCCTGCCTCTCCGGCTCATCTCTACAGCACTCCTGAAGTGGCTCTTCTGCCCTCTCATGTCTTACCTTTTCCTTTGCAGCACTGTTGATGAGTACTCACCACAAAGGAAGGTAGGTAACTGCTTTCCTATCTGCAGGGGAGCACAGAGGGGATCTGGCTTGGAGAGCTTCCTACCTGATTTGGCATTTCCTTGCAATTAAAGTGAATACTGCCTCAAATCTAACACGGTGAGATAGGAAAACCCAGGGATGCAGCCTGCATGGCCCTGCCTTGCTGTATTTCATGCCTGATTGCATATGAACCCTTGACTTTTTGACAACGTGCATATTTTGTGATACATTTTAAAGCCTCGGAACTTCCCTACTGTTACCAAACTGATAGAATTTTGAATTTTAAACTGCCCATATCCCTCCCTATAAATCCAAGAATCTTAGGTGGAGGATTTTCCTTACTCCAAGAGTAAGTCTTCTGAAAATTTTCAGCGTGTCAGAGAGATGGTAGCAAGTGTGTTGTATTTCCATTGAACTTGGTGAGGGGGAATGTGGGAGAAGACACTGGTCAGTGTCTGGGAACTGTGGGTAAACATAATTAACCAATGGCGGGAGTGTGAAATGACCTCGCCAAGTTCTTCTGCGCAAGCTGGAAAAGGCAGGAGCTGAGATTGCTGTAACTGTGTCTCAGAACTTGCGCTGGGATGAAGAAAGTGTCTTCCTAAAGAAACTGTGTGTGTTTCTGAGGTGTCCTCTGCACTAAAGAGACCGAGGGGCTTTTTGCTTGGCTAGCTCTTTGGACCGTGCTGTAAATAGCTGTGACTTTTCAAGGGTACATTCATTCACTGTTCTTTCTCCCTTCTCACAGAGTAAAGCCCTTTTCCACCAATTCAGTCTTAAGGAGAACTGGCTGCAGCATAGAGGAACTGTGACTGAAACAGAGGAAAGTGAGTAGGCACAAGAGGGCCAGCATCCTCCGCCAGGAACACATCAGCCCACAACTCTCAGTTCTAGCCATCATTCCTTTTTAGCAAGAATGTTAATATCAAATATCATGGCCTTATTTTCTTAGTTTGAGTGTTAATTTTGTTAATGCAGTGTTCTTTCAAAGACCAGGATATTCTTAATTGGAGAAGCAAGAACAGGAATGTGTGCACAGAGCCAGCCCTCTTGCATTCTACAAAATACACTGGAAACTCAACTTTTTCTTCCCTGAGTCTTCCTTCTGGCTCTGACTACCCATGGTCCATGGTTCATGATTGACCAGAAGGGCCACGAAAGCCAGTGCGCAGGGACTTAGCTGAGTTGGTCCCTGAGATTCAGAAGAGCAAATCTGCCGAGAATAATTAGAGGAGGAGTATGAAAGACGGTCATCTGAAGTCCTTGCCTGATAGAGCTCACGACATCCCTTGCAGGTAGAGGAATTCAGCAGGTACAAGGGGAAAGCCTTGTGAGCCACCTGGAAACACTAGTGTGCTTTCAGTGCGACTCTGTCCTAGCAGAGCCTCTGCGGTGGCAGAGGTCCCCTGTTTGAGTAGAGGTTGAGTCCGGGCAGGCCGAGAGACAGGATTGAAATGCCTGTGCTGTTGTGAACCTGAGAAGCTTCCCACCCATCCTTCTCCATGTGCTGAAGGGTCAGTGTTTACTATTGGTTTGAATTTTCTAACAATTCCAAAATAAATTGTCTTCATGACAAACAAACAAAATCTGTCCTGTAGCTTAGGCTAATGCCTCCAGCAGCAAGGGTTCTGTCGTGTTGTGTTTGCTGTCATCTGCCCCAAATGAAAGAGCAAATGCAATTTCCTTACCTCCTAATGCGTTGATGGCTGACCTTCCTCATCCATTTCTCTTATAATTTAATTGTGGAGTTTGCTAAGCTGAGCTTCAAAGTATGGCAAAGCCCCAGGCTCTTCTTGTTTATCAGTTTATTACTCAAGGACAAACTCAGCCTCTATGTAGTACTTTATAGTCTGGACCTTTACTCAAAATCTCCATTTCCCTAATGGAAGAGCATGAGGAGGAAAACCTCTCTCTTTCTCAAGTCTGCTGACAAAACATGAAGTAATGATTTGTCAAAAGCTATTGATCTAGTGGCACACCATGGCACACCTAACCAAAGCAAAGACTCGAGTGCCTGGCAGTGTATTTGTTTGAGGCTCTATGGTAACAGTTCACTCTGGGCTTGCTGCCTTTGCATTTCTAGAAAACCATCCTTGAGTTAATTTTGTGACACCATTTACATAGCATATAAAATTTCTATTAAACCTGTAGCCCCCTGCTTATTTTTGAGAAACTATAGAAGTTTCTCTGAGCATATTGTTGTCCTGTTCAGTCTAAAGAAGCTAGCATTTGCGTGCTAAAGGAAGCGTTGCAGGAAGTAACAAGTCGGTGATCCTCGTTGCTACTAAAACTATCTCTGCTTTGCAAATCATGAAAAGACTTTTTTCCAGAGCCCAATCATCCTGACAGTGATAGTACCGTACTAACCATTAATAATACTGCAAACATTAAAGGGAAGTTTTCCAAAGCTAGAAATATGACCTCTATTTAAAAACTCAAACGCAAATGGACATGGGTCGAGGCTGAGGCTCATTCAGGTTCATTCTTAAATGACTGAGAAATCTGCACACAAGAACCAAGGCAAGTGACACACTTTCAGATCAGCGTCCAAGAATTCCAATAGCAAGTGTGCAGTTCTTGATTGGGCCACTGAGACGATCCTGAAATGGAGTGTAAAATAAAAGTGTATGCATTAGACATTTTAATATGCTGCTCTGGGAGATCTTAGTAGCTCTCAAAAGTACAGTCTTTGGAGCATGGTTTCCAGTGTCCTCTGACCAGGCAGCCTGTCACCAGCTCATGCTGGTGTGACTGAGGGATCCCTTGCAGTATGAAAAGCCATGCTCCTGCATGGCCCCTGCAAGCATATGCTGACAAGCTGGACCCTTGCATCCTCATGTCCTAAATGCATCTAGCTGCACACACTTTTCACTTAAGACAACAGCAAGGTAGATACCTTAGTTAGAAAAGTCTGTGACCTCGTAATCACAATTCTCTGGTTATGAATTGTTCTTTTGACTTCTGCAGTTTTTTGCCATGTGTATATAACGGAGCACTCCTATGTCAGTGTGAAGGCAAAAGTTTCCAGTACAGCCCAGGAGATCCTGAAGGTTGTGGCTGAGAAGCTGCAGCGTGCTGAGGAGGATCTGGCTCTGGTGGCCATCATGTTCTCTGGAGGTAAGTTATGTTCTTTCTTTGAATATTAATCTTCCACTGGATCTCCACCAGGAGGCAGTAGAGTGGGCCCTGCTGCTTCTCCTTTCTCTGCCTGCAGCTGGATGGCCACAGTAACAATGCAAAGTGCCTACCAGAGGTGTTTCCATGACAACAGTGGGGTAGTGCTGGATACTGAATTTCCTCCCTTGAATTGAGTAGGAAGATGTGCCAGTGTTTTGAAATGTATTAAGAGCTTTTTGTGTTTTTTAACATTAGATAAGCCTTCCATTTTCATATTTAAATTAACTTCAGAAATTGTTAAAGGATTTAATTACTGCACCGCACCGGGAGGGGGTAGCCTTGAACCAGTCATCTTGCTGGCTGAGAATTGAATACTTCGGCTCTGTTAAACAACAGGAAACTGTAAAGTGAGCCCCAGCTCAGAGGGTGGTGAGCTGGGCCTTGTTTGTCCTACAAGGAAGCTTTATTGTCTGTCTTGAATAGATGATGCAGATTACAAACTGACATTGTTGGTGTGTGCAGCCTGGACAAACCCCCTTGTTTTCTCTGGAGCCTGCCAGACTACAATGTCACTGGCCTCCTGTGGGCTTACACTCTTTATTAACTATCTCATCAACTAACCGAGAGGAAAATTTGGGGAAGGTAACTGAGCATGGTCAGTTGAAAGTGGAAGCACCACATTAACTAATCAGCCAGTCGGTGTCGGGGGAGGGGAGCAGAGACAGGCATTCCTGTTTACTCCCAGTAACTGTTCTACAGGGAGAGATGGACTCGGAATACATGTAAAGATAAAGCATTATGAAATAGATCATTATTCCTGCTACCTTCTTGCTCACAGGCTGGTCAAATAGTCTGACAAGTCAATCCATTACACATACAAAAAATAAAAATTAATAAAACCACAAAGCCAAAGCCATTCCCTGTAAGCCTAATAGAGTCCTTCCTTTCCTAGAACTCTCATTGAACAGCTTAACAAAACACCATCCAGGGTTGAGGGTGTAGCCCATTGGTAGAACACAAGTCTTGTATGTACTAGACTCTGGGTTGAGCCCCAGAAACGCCTCTAACCCCAAATTATCTATGAGAAATAAAAGCAAAAAATTTGCAAAGCATGTTAACCCAATGAACTTCAATAAGAAAATGATTTGGGGATGGGAATTGTTTGCTAAAAACTAGAGATGGGAGCTAGGGAAATGGCTCAGCAGTTATAAGCGTGTGCTGCTCTTGTAGAGGACCAAGTTCAGTTCTTAGCTTACGGCCATCTAAAACACCAGCTCTAGGGGCTCTTGACACCCTCTTCTGGTCTCTGTGGGTATTACATGCACATGGTACACTAAAGTGCATGCAGATAAACATGCATACACATGAAATAAATAAAAATAAACAAAATCTTAAAATGCGAAAAAAGATTAGAGAGTTTTTAAGATATGAAAATCCAAATGATGTGTTTGCTAGTGAGCTGGAGGAATGCATGTCCTCAGAAGTTCTGAATTAATGATATACTTCAGGAAGATGTGTTAAATGTGTCATGTATTCTAAAAGAACAAAACATTAAATGATTATAAGCAATATTAAACTTCATCAAAACAAAATTTGCCTTTCAAGATAGTACACTGTAGAGAACAACCCCTGGGCCTCCATTCAGACAGAGGGTGTGAGAAAAGACAGGCATTCAAGGGAACTCCACAGCACAGTGAAGGCCCATGGTCCTTGGGAGCAGACTCACGCCAGCCCAGAACCACGTGAGAATCTGGAAGCTAAAAAGGTGTCTTTTTTACCACCGCATGTCTACAGGTGACTGGGAAATGCCATTTCCACGCTGCCAGCGTAATCAGCATGGGCAGTGATATTCTTTTGTGTGTGAGTCCCTTGCTGTCATCAGCAGAGATGACAGGTTATCCTGAACGACCCACAGATTTGGCAAGGTGCCATCACGTTCCATTCATTGAGTAGTTTTTATCGATTGACTGGTTACGAAAGGAGGGTCGGTTTTCTAGACTGATTGGTGGTGTGATGGTCTATAAAGAGCTTCCTTGCCTGCGTCTTATTGTCCTTCAAACAATAAATTGGGGTGGGAACAGGGCTTAACTGTTAATTAACTAGTCATTGCTGCAGTTACAAATAATGTAACTTGTCTCACAAATAATGTCTCCCCTCTTCTGCAGAGAGAGCTGGCACCATCAACTGGGGTTTGTTTCATTTTGTTTTTGAGAACAGTTTAAGAAATTTGTTGATGTTTCATGGTTTTTTCCTAAAAGAGGCACCAATTGTTCACAAAGTTTTAACAGATTTCTAGATATTTTGTGTCCAAGGTGGTATCATAGCAGCCAACCCATTTTTATTAAGAGGCTAAAATTTAGTTTTAATCTTTGATATTTTGGTAGCCCCAGCTATTTGGAGCCATTTACTACCTGTGTTTACAGCCCACCACTAGTATAATGCTGACACATTGGGAATAAACTAGATGATCAGTTATGTGCTCTGCACTAACCAGAAATATTCAAAACAAAATGTGGCATTTAAGTTGGTTAAGTTACCTACAAAGTGTGTCTGTCACTCACACCAGTAACGAAAATGCTGCCCTAGGGTAAGTGAATTGTATGGCCGCAGAACAAATTTTACTGTTACTTTATCCTTGTGTGCACATTTGGTGTGGAGGAGAACATTCATCTGTGAAAAGAGGGCTCAGTCTGCAGGAGAGGGAAAGCTAGACTCAAACATTTTGCAATAAGGAAGTTAAGCAGCCAACTCTCAAGAGCATCCAAGCAAATGGAGATTCAGCCTTTTAACTTGCACATACAACAGACCATTCATAAACTATAATAGGTGTTGTTCAGTGTACAAGCTTTATATCTAATTGTAGGGAGATATGTTGGTTTATTTCTAAAAAGAGAATTGGTAAGTAGTTTGGCAGTTGATGTCAAAGGCTTTGCAAATGCCCCCTTGCCCAGTAATTTCCCACTGGGAAGTCTCTTTAAAAACTTTTAAGTAGAAGGGATTTGTGTGCAAGGATGTTATAGCTGCTGTAGTAACAGACCATTTGTCAAGATGCTCTAATGTCAGGCCCTGTGTTAGTACTTTTTTAAAAATATTTATTTATTATGTATATAATATTCTGCAGGCCAGAAAAAGGTACCAGACCTCATTACAGATGGTTGTGAGCCACCATGTGGTTGCCAGGAATTGAACTCAGGACCTTTGGAAGAGCAGTCAATGCTCTTAACCACTGAGCCATCTCTCGAGCCACCCCCACCGTGTTAGTACTTCACATGTATTAATATATATGACCAGAAAAGGGAAGCCATTAAATGTTCAGCAGTGGAGGGATGACTAGATGGTGGTGCAATGGGCTGCAGTATAGCGATGAAACATGACGTAGACACAGCAAGTGGGTACATGCTTCTAATGAAGTCACGCTGTACAGCCACACATGTGTGTGGGAACGAGTGTGCGTGCACTATAAGAACTGCTGATATATGGACTCACGTGGTTATTTTGGAGAGGGGATTATAACCAAATTTTGCTGTCCATCTTAAACTGTCTGACTTAGCTCTGAGGTCTAGGTGATGTTTCTGCCACCACAGGCATTATGTTAAAATGTGCAAAAAAATGAACTCACTCAAAGTCTGTTTACATTATTTTAAATATTTTTCTTGGGCAAATTTTACAGGCTCACTCGTGTTTCTAATTACTCTTTTTTTTCTTTTTTCTTTTCTTTTTTTTAATAAAGAAAAGCATGAATTTCAGCCAAATGACTTGGCCGTTTCCAAATCCCTGGAGGCGTCGGGTCGGATATTTGTCTACCGGAAAGATCTAGCCGACACTTTGGTAAGGACTCCTGTGCTGGCAGTTAAACACTGTCTCAGACTCAACAATGTTTTCATGCTTTATTATGAAAAACATATATTAAACTGTTTCCTCTTCCAGCCATGAGTACATGCCAAGTGACGTGATCTGTAAATCAGAGGCCTGACTTATTGGATTTGTGGCCTTCCCTAAGATCAGTCTTGCTTTTGCTCTGTTATAAAGAATTAAAGTAGTGACTCCCTGTGCCTGATTTAGTCTCCTCTTTCTTTGGGGGAGCCATATGGGCACAGGGCTGAGAAATAATCCCAGATAGATTGGAAGGAGAAAAGCATGTACTCTTGGATGTTCTCCTTAAAGACAGGGTGGATTTTAGGCTTCCCTCAGTGAGATGAGTTGGTAACAATACCAGATGCCCTGAAGAGTAAGATTTTTGAAAAAATGGAAATAAACCCACCCTTCAGGTTACTCTCTGTATAAATTTCAAGAACATGTATGACTAAAGGACCAGCATTGGTATTTCCCAGCACTTCTTAGTAGACAATGAGTCTGATTTTATTCTTGCCCGTGAAAGAGGACAGTCTAAAATGCAGCTATTGTGGGTTCTTCATAAGCCCACACTTTACGTGTCCACTGGACCCTCCTTCTCCACCACATAGCCACCTGGGATAGTCCCCCCCAGGACATTTTTATACAGGGCCTCGCAGAGAGCCTAAGGTGATCATGGGTGATGTTCCAATGAAATAAACAGGCACCGTGAGCAATGTTCTCAAAGGACCATCCTACCATCCAGGGTTTTCTACACCAGCTTTGGACACCATGGCACATGTCTTTGTGGGAAGCAGATTTAGGGATTTTATCTTCAGAAGATTCTACTTAAAATAGATGATGGTTGGGGAAGACTACCACATGAGTCTGTTCACTGTACCCATTAGCACTTTCACATAGATAAACAAATCTTCCTCAGAATCACACCTAAGAGCCTGGAGGATTGAAATAGAGAAATATAAAATGTTGCCTGGCCAGGGCAGTAGGCAGCCTTGATAGAGCCTGGAGGAATGGAATAGAGAAATATAAAATGTCAGCTGACTGGGGCAGTGGGCAGCTTTGAGTAACTAGAAGGTGGCTAAACTGTGCTTAGGGGTAAATTTGAGGGACCAAAGGCCGAGTTAACCTGTGCTTCAGACGTTAGCCCACGCTGCGGTCTTCCCTTTCAGTCCATTTCAGTGTCTTGTCCCATCCTAGCAGACGATCCCTTGAGACTTCAGCACCACAGAATCTGTGCATTCACAGACTGGGTGTCTTCTGACACAACACTGCATCCTACACCCTCTGTAGAGTGGAGAGACCACTTGTGCTTGGCTGGCTAACAAGGCACTCAGCCCCACGGGAAGTCTGTGAAGGTCTTCTGTAATCAGCGGCTGTTTTTAATAGGAAGCGTTTTCATAAGCATTAAAGTTCTAACTGGCATGTTATCCATGTCATTTATTTCTGCAGAATGAACTTCTTTTATATATATATTCTTACTGAGAATTAACCCTACACACATCCTAGATGGCTGGCAAGCCCCGCGCTCTGTCAGTGAGGGTCACCACAGCCAATTCCCCGTCCTTTTCTTTTTAAATCATTAACTCTTTGACTCTAACCCCATAACTGAGAAAATATGTATTTTAATTAGAAAATATCAGTTATTTTAGTGAAAATACCAAATTTTTTATTTAATAACTTCAAAAGTGATGATAGATTTAAGGCTAGGTTGGGAATTTAGTAGACTCATGCCAGATTTTGAAGGGCGTACTGTTATCAACCTCAGAGTGATTAGCCCTCATCTGCATGGGGGCATTTGTTACAGAGAATATATTAACTAGCCACATGGGCTCTAGATAAAATAGCTTTCATTTTTATTCCGTGTTAGATTTTTCACTTTCCAAGGGCAGTGTAATAAAATCTGTAAGCATGTGTCAGAGACGAGACTAGCAAAGCGTGCTCCCTGTAAAAGCCGTGTCTGTCTTTATTGAAGTGCTCGTGACATTTCTTTTGTTTGTTTTTATACTAACCCTGCTGGCACATTAATTCTTACCAGAAGCCAAAGTGATTCCAGGGCTTTCGCTTTCATTATGCTGTCTGTCAGGGCTGTGTTTTATAATCAGATTTGTGGGTGTGCGGATGTGTGTGCTCTTGTGGGAGGGGGGGAGGGGGAGGGGCGGGCTAGCTGGGCGATGCATCCTTGATCACGTCCAGCTGTTCCGCGCTGTTTCCTGCATTGGCTGTAACTCACTGAAGGTGATGAGAGGAGGGAAAATATTAAGTGCTCTCAGAAAGGATTGCTTTTCTAATCTGGGTTCCTAGAATCTTCCTGTGTGCAGCCAATTCACTGTGAAACATTTGGGAATTACTGAAGATCCTTTTTCTTCTGTCTGTCGGTGTAGAATCCTTTTGCAGAAAATGAGGAATCGCAGCAAAGATCAATGAGGATTTTGGGAATGAACACTTGGGACCTTGCTCTCGAACTGATGAGTTTTGATTGGGGTCTGTTCAACTCAATCCATGAGGTAAGCAGAGATAAAAGAATGGAATGGATAATGTTGTTTTAACTTTTAACTGAATGGTTTGTTGTTGTTGTTGCTTGTCTTGAGGCATTTGTGTAGTAATATAGTTATGCTAGGGTATGGTCTGAAAGCTGTCTGGAAGAGTTAAAATATATTGAAAATCGAATATATCCTTGGAAAATCAGAATATGTACCATGCTTTGTTTACTTCTTGTTCAATCATGTGCTTGGTGTGAGTAAAGTGTGAACATGCCGAGTTTATGTGTTCAGACACCTGAAGGCAGGTATAAGATCTTTAGGGGTGTGGTTGCACAGATTTAGACCGATATATGCTGCTGTAATGAGATTAAAAGTCATTCTACCTTTGGTGTTAGGATTTCCACATGTAAATATACATACACATTTATATTTGTATGCATGCATCTATACATACACATCCATCCTTTTACTTAAGAATATCTCATAAATTTGCCAGGTGGTGATGGTGCTCATCTTTAAGCCTAGCACTCGGGAAGCAAAGGCAGTCGGATCTCTGTGAGTTCGATGCCAGCGTGGTCTACAGAGCGAGTTCTAGGTCAACCATGGCTTCCCAAGAAACACTATCTTAAAAACAAAAAGAAAATCAGATTTCATAAATTTTATAATATGCTATGAAATTTCAAATACTATCTTATAAATTACATTTTTATGTGTATGGACGTCTCCTTTGGAGACAGATTATAATGTTTTTAAATTGTTTGCTAGAAGCAAAGTGCTACTGACAGTTTGGTGGTAGCAAGTCTCACAGAAGCCAGGAGATAAAAACGCTGCAGGTACCCATGTGGTATGTTTGTCTGGCATGTAGAGCAGTTCCTTCTGCAGGGAACCTCACGGCTGCTTCCCTGGGACCCAAGCCTTTCCGTGTGTGGTACCTGTTACATTTGTTCATAGTTTCTCATTAAACACTTTAGCGTTATAATCCGGTTTGAACTCGCTCGTCAGGTGGGATCTGCCTCTGCTTGTGCAGTGGTGAACTTGATGACTCCTGAAGACAACACAGGCACCCAGTTAAAAATGAGCCTCTGCATTGCTTTGTCTGGTTACAGCAAGTAGTTACTGGTCTTGGCTTGCTTTTGTGAACTTTTGCAACCCACTCTTAATTTTCACTTTATTTCTGTCTATGATCCTAAGATGTCTTTAAAACTCTCTGATTCTCAGAGAGTACCAGAATCAACAACAGCATCTGAGGACCTGTTAGAATTATAGATTTTCAAAGCCCACACACAGGCATGGTGGTGCCCACCTATGGTCCTCTTTCCTCGAAAGCCTAAGGCCCGAGGATCAGGAAGTCATGGGTCCAAGACAACCTGGGCAATGTGGTGAGACCTAGTATAAAAGGATGTTTCAGCCCCTCATAGACTTCTAGCCAGATATGTGGGCAGAGGTCTAGTAACCTGAACCTTACCAGTCAGTGCTCAGGGTGGCTCAGAGGACCACCTTAATAATCCATTCCCCATTGGATCTGATGTGCGGGAGCAAATACTAGTGTCGTTAGTTGCCTTATTTAGTAAGTAGGAAAAAGGGAAGGAAGGAGGGAGGGAGACAGGGAGGAAGGTTTTTTGTGTGTAAGGTTTCTAGGTAAGTATTGGTGCACAGTGCACACTGGAAACTGAAGGTAAGCTAGCGTGAATAGACGATGTAGTGATCGGCTTTATTTTCTGTCAGCACATTAAGGATATGGGAGTGACCTCTTGAAATGGCTCATAAAGTGATTGAATTTTTCATGAATTTGACTTGGGCTAAAAGTTAACATGTTTCTTTCAGCAAGAGCTGATCTACTTCACGTTCAGCAGGCAGGGAAGTGGAGAGCACACGGTGAACCTCAGCCTTCTGCTCCAGAGATGTAATGAGGTCCAGCTCTGGGTGGCCACGGAGATCCTGCTCTGCAGCCAGCTGGGCAAGCGCGTGCAGGTGCTGAAGAAGTTCATCAAGGTCGCCGCTCAGTAGGTTTCCAGTGGGGAGCAGTTATGTCTCTGATTTCTCCTATTTCCTTGAGGAAGTATGGTGATGTTTTGGGGTTTTGTTTGTTTTACTTTTTGTAATTGTAAGAAGGGTTGGGATATTGCAATGTAATACTGAGTTAAGTGACCAAATGATTGAAAAGGTCTGTTTTTGAATATTTTTGTCTTTTCATTGGAAGTTTTCATGTCTTAAAGTAAGTGTTGAAATAGCAGACTCGAGCACTGAGCTGTCTGCTTAGAAGTTATAACCAGGGGGGCTGGAGAGATGGCTCAGCGGTTAAGAGCTCTGCCTGTTCTTTCAAAGGTCCTGAGTTCAATTCCCAGCAACCATATGGTGGCGCACAGCCATCTGTAATGAGTCTTGGTACCCTCTTCTGGCCTGCACTGTATGCATAATCAATAAATAAATATTTTAAAAGAAAGTTATAACCAGGTAAGTTCTTGTACAATATAGCTAGAGGTACTGCCATGGGCTAGGAAAATGAAAGATGGTGTGTGTTGTGGGGGGTATTGTGGAAATTCAGAGACATTATAGAATCTCTGTGAGTTTGAGGCTAGCAGATATAAAAACAAATCAAATAAGGCACTTATCAATTGAAAAATACTGATCTGGTACCAACCTCTGGCTTCCACACAACAGAGGATAAGCGCACGCATACACACGCACGCACACACACACACACACGCACGCACACACACACGCACATTTAGAGTATTTTTTGTACATATGTTATTTTGGGGGGAACATTGAGGATAGAGTAATTGCCATTTGTCTCTCTGTTGTTTGAGACATTTAGAATGTGGATGCAGACTCTGAGATCCTCCACTGGGCAAAGAGATCCATCCCTGTTCTGTAGACATGAGGAGTGTCTTTACATAAGGAGATTTTTTTTCCTATTGCCCTACACAGCCAGAGCTGCTCAGGCCTATGCAGCCAGAGACAGAAGCAGCAGACTCTGGAAGGCTTTCTTCCCAGGGCGTCCCTGTCCCATCAGGAGGCGATCATGCATTGTACTCTGGTGGGATTGTGCTCCATCCAAGGGAGCTGGTTGAGCCCAGAGGTTTCCTGCCATGCAAGTATATTGTAAGATTAGTCCATTTTACCCAATAATTTAATCTTTTATAAGTAATTTTTAAAATATAGCCTGATTTTGAATATTATTTTTCATTAGACAAACTTTAAGTTACTTCAAACTTGTTTTCATTTACTTGTTTCAGGCTTAACTTTGTAACATATACAGAAGGCTATTTAATGGGAGATAGAAATCGGTCTCTCCATCCAAGCTTGACTCTGTAAATAAATTATGTTTGTATTGAGCATGACTGACCATTAATTTGTATATCTGAATTATCTTTAACAGTTTACAGTGTTACTCTTTTTTTATAAGATTCAGATTTTATATGAGCCTTCAAAAATATAATTCTGAATTAAAGATCCTTTTGTGTCAAAATAAACTTTAAAGCATAAATGTAGTCCGCAGAGAAAACAAGAACTTTATTTCCATGACCATTTTATAATGTACTTTTACAAAGTGCTAGGTTTGTTTTATATGACTCAGTTTCAAAACAAACTATCTTGGAAGCCTGGTATTACCTCATTGGTCTAATAAAAGGGAGTCACGTAGAGTGGTTACTAGAGGGGTCTGTGGGCCTCATTTTATGGGTGTAGCCTCAGTTGATTTATACAACACGGTCACCTTAACCGTGAGGGCGGTGAAGTCACATGATAGGCTCTTTCTTGACTCTCAGCGAAGACGGTGGCAAGCTTCTTGGTTGTTATTACTCCAAGGTGAGCCCATGAAGCGCACACTTTTTCCTAAATAAGAGTTGGATCCACGTTACATCGTGGTTTGCTACAGCAAGTTAATTCTTATCTGTACATAGACTTTTTAAACCACAGTCGATGAATTTATAAATTCTAAAGTACAGAGAGTTAAAGTCTCAACGAAAGCTTTAAACAAAACCAGAGAAAACGGGGAATTCAGACAGCTGAGCCCTTTTCCATTTGTGACCCTAACAGAGAAGTCCACTTCTGTGGTCTTCCCCAGCAGTTCCTTTTCTAGCTCTTCTGTTTAGTTCTCCTTTTTGGTTATTTTTGGGCTTTGTTTTTGTTTTTGTTTTCGAGACAGGATTTCTCTGTGTTGCTCTGATTCTCCTGGAACTCGTTCTATAGACAAGGCTGACCTCAGATGCAGAGATCCTCCTGCCTCTGCCTCCCGAGTACTGGGATTAAAGGCGTGTGCCACCACTGCCTGGCTTGTTCTCCTTCTCCCTGTCAGAGTCAGGTGGCCAGCCTGACACAGAACAGAGACTTTGGAGGAAAGTTAAGCCAACATGCTTGGGTCTGGAGTCTCAAGAGCCACCTTCTCAGTACGGGGGAACAGCACAAACAGCTTTCCCTTTACAGACAATTAGATCTCTGTAAGTCTGAACCCAGTGATCTACACGGCCATAACCAGTGTGTATGCATCTGCAGACGGGAGCAGACAATCTGAAATGCTTACCTCCTAGCCACTAAAGATAAAAGTGGGATTTTCTAGGTTTGGGGAGGCATAAATACAAGTAAGACAAAAGCATAAGGCAAAAAAGTTCTATGGTATCTCAGGAGCAGATACAAGATATCTGAATATACAGATATTCAGCCCAGCAGTAACAGCAGCCAGCAGACATCCTGGCTCTGAGCATGGTAGTAAGCCAACTGTGAGTTTCATGGGAAAGGCGACTCGGACCATGCTGCCGTTCCTGTCATCTTATGAAGTTACATAAATCAGGTTGGGTTTTGTTGTTGTTGTTGTTGTTTATTTATTTATTTAGTTAGTTAGTTATTATGCATACAATATCAGGCAATGCTCTTAACCTCTGAGCCATCTCTCCAGCCCATAAATCGTTTCAGTATTGGAAATAAGAAGTTCCAAATCGGTGCCAGCAGTAGCTGTTTGCTGAGTGTACATTGAGGCCAGACTGCATTAAAAGGCGAAGGAAAGTCCCCAGTTTCCTGACTGACTCTTCTTACATGAGCCTGCAGACAGGTCAGAGGAGTGTCTTTTTGGTACAGAAAATTTGGAACCCATGGCTTGGCCCAGGACCAGGTACAGGCAGAGGTCACTGTCCAGTTGAGTAGAGCATCCCATCCCCTGGGATGTGGAAATGACCACATGCCCCTGGATCATAAGGGTGTCCCCAACCTATACAGTTCCAGGGTGACGGAGCCACAGGGCTGGTGGTCTCCTAGCCAGTGGAAAACCCCAGCTCCCTTTAACAGAGTTGGCCTTAGGAAAGTTTCAGTACATTGAGCTCCAGTGGCCTCCAAAACCTAGCTAGGGTACCTCAGTGTTAGATCCATGGTTACCTAGTTCCAGGGTTTTTCTGTGTTATATGTGTGTTCTGACCCAATGCCTCTCACCTAGGCCAGACTGTATCAGGGTAGACGGTAAGTGAGAGAGGAAGGAGGGAGACGCAGAATGAAAAGATGGATGGGGCTGGCTGAGGGAAGCCTGTGGCCCTGCTGGGGCTTGAGCAGCTGGTGGCTGCTCTGGTCCATCCTGGGTCTTCAGTACCATGGTTAGATTATTTTTAAAAGGCAGAGAAGAAAAGGAAGCAAGCAAGCAAGTGGGCTTCATCTGACCTTAGGCAGCACGTTTATTCATGGTGAGGGAACATCTTGTCACCCATGTGTGTGTCTGGCAAAATGCCTACAGGGAAAGATGGGCCATGGTGGCTTACATGGATGGAAATGGGAAGGAGTGGCTTCTGAAATCCTCCAGGAAGCTGTCACTAACACTGAGGTTTTAGGGAATCGGGTCAAGGAAAATAGTCTCTGTGGCTCAGTTTAAATGAAGCCACGTGGGTTTAACTACGTGGTGCCTGATACGGCTAAACCTACCACTCTGGATCTGTGCAGGGCTGAATGCGTCAGCCTGGCTTGTTCAGAGAGTGCAGAGTGGTCGCTTGTCCTGGGTGTGGATCTGATGAGGCCTTGTGGGAAGTCAGGCTTCCTGTACAAGGTCCTGTCACTCAGCATGCTGCTCTGTAGAACACAGCGAAGGGCCTGGGACGGGATCTGGTCCGTCCTGGCTTTGAAGAAGGAAGCGCTGCATCTCAGGAGTGTGGGGATGGAGACAGGAAACACTGGGGAAAGGAGCCTTTGCTTTCTGGGTGAGAACACTCTCTCCATGGAGGGCGCCCTGAAGATGAGCTCAGCAGAGCAGCAGAATTTTGAGCATGATGAACACTGTGTTCAGCTGAGAGGAGGTTGTAATAAACGGCTGGCTGGAGAGCTGGCTGGCAAAGGCAGATCCGATCCTCAGCATGATGAGTGCCATGTTCAGTTGAAAGGAGGTTGTAGGAGAAGGCTGGCTGGCAAAGGCAGATCCGATCCTCAGAGAGTCTGTGGTCCAGCAACCAATAGGCCCAGAACTTGCTTTAGGAACACTCTCCTGGAAGTGGAAAGAAACCTGGCCAAGGGACCCCGAAGCTAGAGACAGAGGCAGCACCTGTCTGAGGTCTGCTGTGATTGGATGGAAGAGCAGGTAAAGGTCTGTTCCCTCGGCTGACACTTTTGTGCTGAGTGGGGCTTTTATCAGTGGTTTTGTTGTTATTTGCTTCTCTATTAACTCAGCCACTGTATTCTAAAATGGCTCTGAGATTCCTGAAGGTGGAGTTTATGGTTAACAGTTTCTTAGAACCTGAGTTAGATGGAGAAATAGGACACCGGGGCTCCAAGGAGTAAGGTGGCACCACCTGGTCCTTCCTCAGGACAGGACTGGATCTAACCCGGGGAAGTGAAATATATTCCTGTCTTCTCCTTAGGGCGCAGTGCTTCTGAATTATTTATGATAATGGTCTCTCTCCCAGCCCATGGAACAGAATGGCAACTGAAACATAAAGTTAAATTCCCCATAATCACACTGTAGGAAGAACCCAGGGAAAACAGCAATTTCCACAATCATGAAGTGTTTTCCCTGCCCAAGGCATCCGATTTGCATATTCATGTTTCCCTCCTTCTCACCATCCCCATCCCCCACCGCTGTGGATTGAGCGCCTTTTCTTTCCTCACTCAGACAAAGGAATGGTCGCTGGACTGGGATGCTTAGCCAGGCAGCCTGCTCTCATCTCGGAATGAATGGCCCTGTAACAGGATTCCATCTAATTTAGATTGGCATCTAATTTCTGTTCAGAATTAATTTGTCTCGTGCAGAAATTGTGTCTATATTAATTTAATTTCTTTTTTCAAGACAAATTCAGATGGTATGTGTGGGTGTGTGGGTGTGAATTTCATGACTAAAATGAAGCTTTGTGGACCTGAAGAAATGGTGTGAATAGGTGAAAGATAGAAACCATATAAAAACATGGAGATAAATGGTGCTGAGTTTAAAGACTTCATCATGAAAAATAACCATTTACGTAAAAGTTCTTTTTTCAGCCCCAGGACTTGGTCTGTGCATGGTTCGCTGTGCATCAAGCAATTGGATATGCACAGTAAAACACATGAGTAGATATGTACTCCAGCCTTAATGAGCTCCCTCTCTGGTGGCGGCAGTAGCCTATAGGGCCTCCCTCGTGTGGGAGGACTCGGGTGGGCGGTATCTTCTGACAGTAGATTGAAGCATTCTCACTGACAGGAGTTCCATCTCAAGCTTTCCTGTCTGCTATGAACTCTATCGTGTAGAATGAGGGGAGGGAGTGGCAGAAGAGAAGTGGAGTCAGTGCTAAGCCTTAGGCTGCAGAAAATCTCAAAGTAATCATAGACAGAAGGCCCTTTCCTTCAGGGTGTTCATAGAATATGCCACACAAGGCCAGTAGGGGTGTGGATGTTGACAGGAGACCAGAGGAAGAATCAGCAAGTCTGGACTCCAAGGGCCTCATTCCTGCATCAGAGCTGGGCAGACTTGGGGACCGGCCATAGCACAGGGGCTTGGTAGTGATGTGCCTGCTGGACATATATTCACGATGTCTTCTGCTCTGGCTGTGGAGACAACAGCGTCTTTCCAGCTCCTCTCTTCCCAGCGTGGAGTCCAAGCACATTTAGACTGGAGCAGTTGTGGTTTGTGAGGCAGACAGGACCTGCTAGAACACAGCCCATTCTTACTCACCTGAGTGCCGCTAAAAGGCACAGCTCTGGAAGACAGCACATATCGGAACCTTCACCTGGCAGACACCATGCATGCAGCTGAAGCCATCTGAGCTATATAGTAGCTCCAGTACAACCAGGGCTGCATAATGAGGCTCCATCTCAAAACAAACAAAACTAAACAAACAAACAAAAATCAAAAACACTTTTCACATTTATAGCTTTTGTAGCATCATGTAATAGCTGGAAACCCAATAAAAAAATCAGAGTAAGTGAAAAGTTTCATAGCAAAGATTCCCAATACAGCATTCTGTGTAATAGGGAAGAATTGAAACTAGCAAAGGCTACGCTAGAAAACTGAGTAAGAAAAATATGAAACATGTTTCTTTTTTAAGAGACAAGATCTTCCAGTATTTCTAGACTGGCCTTTAATTCTCATTATAGTAGAAGGTAACCTTCTTGGACTTCTGAATTACCTGTCTTCACTCCCAGTGTGGGGATTATTTTCTTATGTTTATAAATAAGAAATTGGAGCACTATCCAATAATATATGTATATACTCAGGTAAACGGATGCTAGATAGATAGATAGATAGATAGATAGATAGATAGATAGATAGATAG